TATAGTTACGCTCTTATTTTCTGATAATATCGCGTTTAGACATCCGTATTTACAAAAATCAATACGTTTATCCATATATAAAATAAAGTCAAAATTCTTTTTAAAATATTGGGGATAGTTGAATTGTAGCGATCTTTTCCATTCCAATATCACTTAACGGCTATAAATTAATAGAGAATTTTAAAAGATTTAAAAGTTTATAAATTATTCTAATTAAAATTTTAAAGAAAGAAAATAATTCTTGTAAAAATTCATTATTCATCAAAGAACTTTTTTATTAAAACAATAGTGTCAATAATATATTTTATACATGAAAGTAATTAAAAGTTTTGTAATTAAATAATATTTTAATGCATTTTTTATTTCACGATTCAGAGCAGATTTTCTGTAACTGGGGAGTCCTGTTTGACCAAAATAAATTGATGGTTTAAATTCTCTTTGTCTTTATAACTAATATAAACATTAAGCACTACTAAATTTAATTTCTCGAAATTTCATAAAATTAAAAAGGTGAGGGGTAAGAGATGTAAAGAATGGATTTTACCAAAATTTTCTAAAAAAGAAAAAAACATTTCAAAAATAATTTCATTCATTTCTGCATAAGTCCTAAGTGTTTCACTAAAATCAACAATTATTTGATTTTTGCAAAAATTTCCAAATCAGTGTGATTCTCACCGCCAAAAGACGAAAAAATTCCCCATAAAAATTTATGTTCATCCGTTGACACAAGAGAAACAAAATTTTTAATCAAAGGTTCTAAAAATGACCAAAAATACTAAAAATTATTATTTCGTCTATCCTCTTAATAATGCTACAGTGTAACCCGGATATAAGAGACCCGGATATAAGAGAAACCCGGATATAAAAGAGATTTTCTCTGGTCCCAAATTAGAGCCTGTGTTAATGTATATAAAATAGACCAAACCCAGATATAAGAGAAACCCGGATATAAGAGAGATTTTCTCTGGTCCCAAATTAGAGCCTGTGTTAATGTATATACAGTGTAACCCGGATATAAGAGACTCGGATATAAGAGAAACCCGGATATAAAAGAGATTTTCTCTGGTCCCAAATTAGAGCCTGTGTTAATGTATATAAAATAGACCAAACCCAGATATAAGAGAAACCCGGATATAAGAGAGATTTTCTCTGGTCCCAAATTAGAGCCTGTGTTAATGTATATACAGTGTAACCCGGATATAAGAGACTCGGATATAAGAGAAACCCGGATATAAGAGAGATTTTCTCTGGTCCCAAATTAGAGCCTGTGTTAATGTATATACAGTGTAACCCGGATATAAGAGAAACCCGGATATAAGAGAGATTTTCTCTGGTCCCAAATTAGAGCCTGTGTTAATGTATATACAGTGTAACCCGGATATAAGAGAAACCCGGATATAAGAGAGATTTTCTCTGGTCCCAAATTAGAGCCTGTGTTAATGTATATACAGTGTAACCCGGATATAAGAGAAACCCGGATATAAGAGAGATTTTCTCTGGTCCCAAATTAGAGCCTGTGTTAATGTATATACAGTGTAACCCGGATATAAGAGAAACCCGGATATAAGAGAGATTTTCTCTGGTCCCAAATTAGAGCCTGTGTTAATGTATATAAAATAGACCCAACCCGGATATGAGAGAAACCCGGATATAAGTGACTTCTTCTCCGGTCCCGACAACTCTCTTATATCCGGGTTACACTGTATGATAATTTTGACGATAAAACTTAGTTTTTATTTAGTTTGAGGCATTTTTTTTCATTACGTATGCTCATTTATTTTAGCGTATCTTTGGTGGTAACTAAACTTGACAAAGTATATTTCTGATGTCCTTCATTTGTTATTCTGTTCATCACGGACTGACGTGTATTGTTGTTTAAAACTATGAACTAATTACGAAAAGGCAAGTATAATGTCGAAGTTTCACATTACCAAGTACACCAAATGTCCATTTTTCAGCAAAATCTTTTAAATTATTATTTTTTTAATAATAAGGAAAGACAACATATTGCACGAATAAAATATTTTGCTTTGTTATAATTACGAATTAATTTTTAGAATTGAATGAATTAATCTGAAAGTAATTTTAATGCGTATCAAATCTGTTTCGCAATTCTAAATTATTTTCTTAGAATTGAAGGGATTTTTCTAAGTTTCCAGTTGGAGTAAAAGCTGAGGAGTGGAATTTTTAAAAAATATAATAAATGGCGTCGTAAAATTATTACATATCCGAGAGTACTCTAACACGCACACACACACACGCGCGCGTGTGTGTGTGTATTTTTAATTCATGCATCAGGTTTAAATAATGTTGTTAGTATTTTGTTTTGAATAAATCTCTCACGGTTTTGAGTAGTTGTGACAAATTTAACAATAATTTTACATAAATTATTTCCAATTTCCTCCAAGATAGTAAATTTCAAATATAACGCGAAAGGATAGTTTAGAAAATCCACAAAGCAATAAAAAATATAAATAATCTTGATAAAAATAAGTATGCAATACTACCTACCAATTCAATAAAGATTTCAATTGAAAAGATATAATATAAAATTTAGTAGAACCACTTCAGAAACAATGAGAATTGTAATCATCACAAAATAGATAGATAGATAGATAGATAGATAGATAAACAATAAGAAATTTACATCACAAAATAACATGATACATAGATAGATAGATAGATAGATAGATAGATAGATAGATAGATAAACAATAAGAAATTTACATCACAAAATAACATGATACATAGATAGACAGATATATAGATAGATAAACAATAAAAAATTTACATCACAAAATAACATGACAATTACATAGATAGATAGATAGATAAACAATAATAAATTTACATCACAAAATAACATGACAATTAGATAGATAGATAGATAGATAGATAGATAGATAAACAATAAGAAATTTACATCACAAAATAACATGACAATTACATAGATAGATAGATAGATAGATAGATAGATAGATAAACAATAAGAAATTTACATCACAAAATAACATGACAATTACATAGATAGATAGATAGATAGATAGATAGATATGGTCTACGGTGTACGTTGTATGTTGGTGCTAAAACATATATGTATTTATATTATGTGACATAACTTTTTTTTTCTTTTTTTTTCTTCACATCACGATTATCAATACACATCAAAACAAATATTCCTTGGGAAAAATAAATAAAAAATTGACAATATATTATTGAAATTCTCCGACGAGTTTAAGTTAATTCTATTTGGAATATTATTAATAAATCATATGCACAACTCATTATACAAATAATCACAACATTACCAAAATATATTCTCTTCAAGACGCAAACTATTTCCGGACATTTTCATTGTCTACGACTTGCTGTTAAGGAACATAGTGGACTGGTTTCCCGTTGCCTTCTCTACGGTTTTAAATTCTCAGTGGTGCTTCTCCTATACTGGCTTTTTCCAATAATATATAGATAGATAGATAGATAGATAGATAGATAGATAGATAGATAGATAGATAGATATTAGTGGTAAATATACACATACATATGCAAAATATATAAATATATATACATACACATACATATATATTTTGTATAATAAAATATTCCAAGAGGATAGAATCCAGGTAGAACTCAATGTCCAGGACAGAGTAAGGATATAATAAAAAGGCTTAAACACTAATATTCCATGGTCATAATTTATTCCATTGGAATCGTAAATACGATCCAATTTATCAGACCTACAAATTCAAAAAGAAAACAGAAAAAACAACTCCGGAAATAAAAAATAAAATTGTGTGTGTGTGTGTGTGCGCGCGTGTGTGTGTGCGCGTGTGTGTGTGTGTGAAAAGTGTATATAAATATAAATAAATATATATATGTATAATTATTTATATATTATATGCGCGGTACTTATTAGAAAGCGCTCAATATCAGAGATAGAGCTAACATATTTGGTTGGATAGATGTGAGTTTGTGACCCTGGGTTTCACGCTTTAGCGATCGTCAGACAAACAAGTTTGTCTAACGATCGCTAAACCTAGGGTCACAAACTCACATCTATCCAACCAAAAATATATATATATATATATATATATATATATATATATATATATATATATATATATTATTAACAATTTCTACCAAATTAATGTATTTTTTTTTTTTAATCTGATATATTTTTTATTACTTCCAACGTTAGTCGATACCCATATTTGAATAAAATATTTAATAAAGTTAACTTTCTTAACAAAAGAAATATTAGAGGGCACATTTTCTTTATTAAGTTTTTTCTCTAGTCTTCTTTTGTCCAACGGCCGGTAGACGAAATAAAAACTGTTTAAAATAAACGGAGCGTCTACTTAAATTCGGGTAACCACTGAAAATAACGTTTTAAAAGATATATGAAAAAATATGTTACTTTAAAAAATATATAAAAATTATTCATATATATTTCCTTTATTTCCTTCCATTTTGAGTTATTTCTCCTTTGCTTTTTCTTTCTAACATTTCTTTTTTTCTTCTTCTTTTTTTTTCTTCTTCTTTTTCTTCTTCTTCTTCTTCTGCTTCGTCTTTTTTTATACTTGTCCGTGTCAAGCCTTCGTATCTGTAAAATCTATCAACCAGGGATTTGTAAACTTTCTTGTAATTAAATAATTGTCCTATTAAAAGGCAAAAGGTACCAATTAGCGTGGGTGGGCTTTACCTTAACAAAATTAACGTTTTAGTTTGTTGCAACAAATGCTTGTAGTTGAATATGTCCACTAAAGTGTGTGTGTGTGTGTGTGTGTGTGTGCGTGCCTCTGTGCGTGTGCGTGCGCACGCGCGTCTGTGAATGTGTGCATCTGCGCGTGTGTGTGTGTGTGTGTAGTGGGCACAAATGAGCAGTCAGAGAACGTGAGAGAAATAAAGAAAGAAAAAGAGAGAGAGAGAGAGAGAGAGAGAGAGAGAGAGAGAGAGACATGAATTCGTTATTCTATTCGTGGGTGGTCCTCATTTCAAATATGAGTTTGTTGGTTCGCATTAGCCTAAGCTCATGTCTGCCTGTGTATGTTGCAAAAAAGAAAGAAAGAAAGAAAGAAAGAAAGAAAGAAAAAAAGAAAAGAACTCTTAAAAAGGAGACACGTGAGGAAATAAAAACGCGTAAGAATGGCAGAAAATGAAAAAGCAAAAAATAAGAAAGGAAAAAGAAAGAAAAAAGAAATGTCCAATAATAGTTGTTACATTTTCATATAAATTCCATGCACTAAATGCAACAACTATTATGGGACAAGTGGAAGTTAATATAGGAAAAAAACAGAAAAGAGAAAGGATTGTAGTAGACTCATTTTGGAAATCTAATCTTTTCCCCTTATTTAAGGAACACCGTCGCTTTTCTATCTATCTATCTATCTATCTATCTATCTATCTATCTATCTATCTATCTATCTCTCTTGGTCTTTTTTCTGTTCACTCTCTTTCACTCACTCTCTCTTACTTTCTTTTTTCCGCTCTCTCGGACTTCTTTCTCTCTCCGTTGCGCCCTTGCTCTCTTAGTCGCTCTCCCTGAAAAGTCTCTGTTGCGCTCTTGTCTTTATCGCTCTTTCTCTCTCGCCCTCTCTCACTTTTGGTGTCTTTATCACTCTCTCTCTCTCTCCCCCTCTATCTTTCTCACTGTCACCTTGCTCGCTTTGTCGCTAATCCTCTCTCTCTCTCTCTCTCTCTATCTATCTATCTATCTATCTATCTATCTATCTATCTATCTCTATCTTGTAATCATACTCTCTGTCACTCTCTCGACCTTCCCCTCTCTCTCCGTTGTGCTCTCTCTCTCTCTCTCTCTCTCTTTCTCATTCTGTTGATTTTGCTCGTTTTGTCGCTCTCTTTCTCTCGAATCCCCTCTCTCCTATCTTTCTCTCTTCAGTGAATGGCTCCACTTTTGACAAGTGTCAAACATCAGGTCACAACAAACAACACTGACTCGGCACCCTTAACAAGGTCCTAATCATATTCCGTAAATCCCACTTTGATTCAAGGTGACAAACCCGGTTCAAATCGCATGTCATTTTCTCTTTATAGTTTTTACCTTTTTTTTTCTTTTATTTTGACCAAATGGAATTGATCCCAAGTGTAAATCGTATACATTCTTATAATTTGTATGCATTAATTCGCAACGACTTGACTCTATTTAAATATACCTTCATAAATCAATTATGTAAACAAATGTCAAGCACATCGTTCGCCTTCGGACCCAGCGCTCAAAAGCCCATCCAAGGTGGTCCATGAATTTGATACTCGTGGGGATGCGGGTTAGAATACATCCCCTTGTCAAGTCTACAGATGCGTATAAAGTGACAAAAGAACGGCGTATAGGAAACCAATTTTTATAGTCACATAGTATTATAAATTGGAGATGTGATTTTTCACACAAGAGCCACTCAAGGTAGAGGGTTAGTTAATGAGTTTGTTGCATGGTTGTAAGGTAAGAAGTGCAGATTATGAGAATATGTAGTTAATATAACGATTAACCTTAAACTTGAAGAATTTAAGATGGTAGTAATCGGGAAGCATCCGTTCTGAAGCCTGTTCCACAAAGTCGATGGTCTTGGAAAGAAGCTGTCTGATTGAAACTCCTTCCTTATTAATGGAATACGAAGGGAATGAGAATAGTTCTTCCCTGTGTTTGTGACATGGCAGGTTTTAGCTGTGGATGTCTGAACTAGTGGAAGTAAGGAATGTTACTCATCAGAATATTTTCTATAGAAATAGCGAAACAGAATCGAGAAGCTTGCGACGTTTCGTCAATCGGAAAGGGGTTGTAGAATGGAAAATAATCCATCATCCACAGGGCAGTGTTTAAACTGGAAAGTGAGATATGGCAGCAATGCTTTATTTCTGGTCTGATTTGGGTCTTGCAAATATAGAGAAAAAGGTGAGTCAGGTAATTGCTAGAGCGGTACAAGGAACAGAACATCTTTTCAACATTCAGCGTGTGGACGATCGGCGAGCCGAATTTAATTTCCAGCTGAGACAATTTGTGTCCACTTCGCAATAATGTCCTTATGAAATACATGAATCCATCCACTTGGAATTAAATAACAGAGTAAACCGAGAACCTGGCGACCAACCTAAGAGAATGAAAACTCTGAATTCAAATGAAGAAAGCAATAGAAAACTATTCCACTGTTTCCCAAAAGCAATCATGGTAACGTACAGTTTACAGAAATTACAAAGAAAGGAAGCTGTAGAGAGATATGATCACTTAAGTTCTGAAGGGACATAGTACTTAAAGAAGAGAGGATTATGAAGTTTAGAAATTGAGTTTGTATTTGTCAGTTTTCGTTAAGCATATTTTTTCTTTGATAAGTTTATTCCAAGCAAGGCGATTATGCCACTAAACCGCAAGTGAAAGAGAATGAGAAGACTTTAGGAGAAGAAACCGGAAACCCAATCCTACACAGGAAACAAGAGATAAACCTCTACTCCTATTCAAAATACGAGGAAGAAGTTTGAACTGGGCAATAGATGAACCTATATACAGATCTCATAACAGTTGAAATCAGAATTTTTAGGAGAAAAATAGAAAAATCCAACGATAGAAAAAACAAAAAAAAAAAAATAATAAAGCAAAGACGTACAAAAATGTTCTTCTATGTGCTATTACTGCGAAGTGGACGCAAATTGTCTCGGCTGGAAATTAAATTCGGCTCGCCGATCGCATTTATCGTGTTGTTAAATTTAAGTCCATACCTTCAGGGCGTTGGCGATCATGGCTTTCGACATTTTCTTGTCTTTTGTAACTCTTAATAGATTTTGTCTTTTTGTTATCTAAACCTTACCCGCTATCCATTTACTCAAGCTCGCTAGGTAGGTTATGCTCGCTTGCCTTCAATCTGCCCTGTGAGTATCAATTTTTCCAAGCCTTCTTTTCTCATTATGTGTCCTAAAAATTTCAACTGTTTCTGTCTGATGTTAAGTATAAGTGTCACTTTGTTTCCATTTTCTCTGAAACTTCGTCATTGCTCACATGTTCGGTCTGTGGTATTCTCAGCATCCTTCTGTAGAACTATATTTCTATTGCTTCAAGTCTCTTAAAGACAAAGATAGAAAAAGAAAACTTTTAATTGAAAATACTTTGTCTAGGTGACCAATATACAATATTTATGCGTTGTTAATTTAAATTGTCTTTTGCAAATTATATACGTTCAATTTAAACATATTATAAACAGAGGCGTATCTATGAAAAGTGCCGTAATGGCAAAACTGCGCCCTTATCTACAGATCTGATATCCTACCAAAATGCAAATAGACCATTAAAGGTCGTTAATATATATAGTAAATTATGTTACTTCAATATGAATACTAACTTTTATTTGTTATATTTTATTAGAAGGAAATTTAAATTTTGGCTATATAATGGTCCTATACGGACATATTCTTTTACGAAATTATGGCAAAATTATCAGAAAAACAAAATCTTTTAAAGAACATGACCTCATACTATAGGAAAACACGCTTTAATTGTCCTTTATTTTTTTTTATATATATATATATATATATATATATATATATATATATATATATATGCAAGTTTCATTTAAGATGGCTGACAAGGTACTGCGAACAGGCTTTTTATTTAATTTTCCCTGTTTTCTTTTCTCGTGTTTGGAAAGTAAAACATTCCTGTAACTCAAGATACATGCTCAAAAAATCAATACATTCAGTTAAAAATGAAAAGTAAAATTCATCGTCGATAATGCCTAAAAGAATAACCGAAAGCGCTCGGATATGCAAAACACTTGGACAGTTTTTACACAGAAAAAAAGACACTTATACGATTACAAGAAAAAGTAAATATAAAACTTAATCGCAGTACCTTGTCAGTCATCTTTAATGAAACTTGTATAAAAGAGGGATTGCTACTCATTATATATATATATATATATATATATTAGGGATGCAAATGTAGATATACAGTAAGGATATGTTATTGATCCTTCAATAATACAATCAATACAATATGTTTTGTGCACGTTTTTTTTTCATTGATGTATAAATACTCCCCCCAACGTATTACGCCACCACAAGAAGACAATCTTTTAACCTGTAATGGCACTAGAAAAATCATATTTTAGTTTTTCAATAAAATACTCAACGTCAAATCGAATATTCTTAATAATCTTTTAATTGAGAATTTCAGTCAGTTATGTACCATGCGTGTTACACGCTTAGGCGATCATGTATATTTCGATACATGACTGACGAGGTCGATTTTTTCTCCGATTGACCAGTTGCCATCCAAGGCTATAGAACCCAGTGTGTCCTGCTATTTACCCAAGAAGTGCATTCATACCTTTCCCAAGGGTATTAGTACATAGGTGAATGTAATGGATTCCACTAGAATTCGAACTCGGCTCTCCGATTCCTCAATCCGACCCGCTATTCATTATGCCACCGTACCAAAGTATGACACAAAAAGATATATTTTAATATGTTATTGCACAAGTAATGCGAGAAAACAAGCGAATTTGTTTCTACTGTTTATCAACCTTTTTCATCTTATTTTAAAACCAGATTTTTTTTTTTTAGATTGTAAGTTTTTGGAGATAATGATTTATTGATACGAGTCCTACTAATTAACCTCTACAGCTTGGCGGGTGGGGAAGAGTTTGATTCATATCTTTCCGAAGGGTATTTGCGCGTAATTGAATATAACAAACCCAACTGGAATTGGAACTCTGCTCTCCGATTTCCAATTCTGAGCTTTTATCCATTGCACCATCCGCACATCCAGGCTTACAGCCTCTGGCATTCCTAAGCGGTCACCCATCTAGGTATTGACCAGGCTCGACGTGATCGTACGAGAAACGGTATTTCAACAGAATATGGCCGTAAGCCCGAAGACAAGTGGAAACCAGGAACTAAGGTACGTGTCCGATAAGCTTAAAACTGCGCCATCTTTGCTTTCACTGATCCAAATTTGGTCATTTACAACCGCTCAACATTGAGGACAACAAAAATCTGTCGCTAGCAACATTCAGCATTGACAGTCTTTCGGCGTCGAATATTTGCCAGATGATTTAGTGTTTAATGTTTAATTAATGACTATTACACTACCTGTTATTTGTTAAGTGTTGAATGGCGTTGTAGTGTCCAACCAAGCGGCGCCCATAGCACGCGTCCTGCTTGCCACACTCAGGATACGCCACTGATTGCAAGACACGTCGCAATGTTTGTTATATAAATTATTTGAAGCACTTCAATTTTTGACAGTCTTTCCTCAATTGAAAGGTGGTCGGAAAAAAGGTCAGATATAATTTATAAGGTACGCTTTATTAGGGGAGGAAAAACAAATATTTTCATGAACTAAACGTTGGCAATAACAGTAATTAAAATAATACAAACATACCTCACTTAACGACTTAACTATTTAACGAATATCAGACTTACAAATCTTAATACATGTACATGCCTGGATGGATGTATATGTAGACACACGTATGTAAAAATGTATATATGTATGTATTGTGTGCGTGTATGTTTGTACATATGCGTGTATGTATGTACATGTGTGTTTGTGTGTATGGTTCTATGTTTATGTAGGTATTTTTATGTATACAAAAATAACAAAAAGTCCCTGAATTAAAATCCTACAATATGAAATGTCTCTGATACAGATATAGGTAAGACGAACACACACAGAGAAAGACAGATTCTCTTTAAGTTAGAACGTGATAAGCTAGAACGATTAATGAGATGTACGACAACCAACCTATCCTCAGAGATCCAAAGATACTCTCTTTACATATTACTTTGCCTTTCTTGTTTTAGTTGAACTGATGACGTCAGAGAGAACATAAGC